AAAGATTTACGCCATTTTTGCGTGTTTTTTTCGACAGTTGACAGTTAAACTCATCTAAATTTTGAAAGTGAAAGAGTGTGATTGAGACTTCATAGTTTTGTAGAGTAAGGTTTGCCTTATCTGAATATATCTTAGCCGTATCGATTCACTGAGAAAATGCCGAGATCCAGAGTCTTGAAAAAGCAGGAAAAAAAGCGCTTTTTGAATTTTAACAGCTCATAACTTCTTCAGAACTGCATGAATCATGTTGCCACTTCATAGGTCAGATTCTTCTCATCAAGAGCTTTCAGACAAATATAATATGTGGGGGTTTAGAGCCTCCTACGAACGAATTATGTCCGTGGGGGGAGCCTTTTCATATCAAAGTCTCCCCCTAGCCTACTTCAATGTAGTGGAAGGGGAGACTTTGGTATGAAAAGGCCCCCCCACGGGCATAATTTGTAGGAGGCTCTAAGCTCCCACATATTTTATATTGTCTGAAAGCTCTTGATGAGAAGAATCTGACCTATGAAGTGGCAACATGATTCATGCAGTTCTGAAGAAGTTATGAGCTGTTGAAATTCAAAAAGCGCTTTTTTGCCTGCTTCTTCAAGACTCTGGATCTCGGCACTGTTTCAGTGAATCGGTACGTGTAAGATATATTCAGATAAGGCAAAAATTACTCTACAAAACCCATGAAGTCGCAACATCACACACTTTCACATTTAAGATTTATATGAGTTTAACTGTCAACTGTCAAAAAAAACACGCAAAAATGGCGTAAATTTTTAGAATTCTGGTTTTCAACGGCTATCTCTCAAATCCACTCGATTCTTTCACCTGCTGATAAAGCACCATTTACTCTTCAAAACCTTTAAAGTCGCAACTGCTGACATCTCCAAACAACAGATTTACAACAGTGGAAATTTTGCATGATTTTTCACTATTTAAATATTCAAAATTCTGGTTCTCGGCCGTTACTGCCTAGATCGACCTACTTCCTTCGCAGTATGTTATAACAAAATTTACTTACAAAATTTAGATTTAATAAAATCCGTACAGTCTAACAAACTTCTACTTCAAAATACACTATTTGATAAGCACATTTATTTTAGATATGCATGACGCTGTATACATAAAAATATGCTTGCAGTGATCCCTTTTGCAGTTTTGCTTATTTTCCGCGCACTAGCGGCAACGACCTGGAAGGATAGACGTTAATGCTCCCCCCCCCCCCGGTCGACGTTTTTGGGAGGTAAGTGTTCGGCACTACCACCATCACTTTTGGCCGGCCAGTGGTAGCTGGGACCACCTTCACTTTTGGTGGGCCCGGCTCCCCCATCGCACCTCTGGTCGTATCTGGGTCGCATCTAAATTTTTTCGGAGCTATCGAAGCTTGTTGGCTGCAAACTTGCAGTAATACGAGGCCATCCTCCTAATTTGCCTCATAAAAATTGCAGGCTGTTTTATGACTTCTCTGGTAAGTTACAAAATTTCAAGCTCAAAAATCCCAGTTTTTGCTTTTCAGGATCTCATCTAAATTTGCGAGAGTCGCACCTAGATTTTTTCGAGCTCACTGCTCCTCAAAGGCTGAAACTTCTTCTATTGATAGTCTGGGCACTTTGCTACAGAATCTGTTCATGGCAGTCCTCTCAGTCTTTTCCTGGCCTTAGACACGAATTTTCAAACTACTGTGCTCATGCACGTTTTTGACATCTTTCTGGGTGGCACTAAAGCGGGTTTTTTTGCAGGGAGAACTGTGCAAGAGGTAGGAAGTAAGCTTCTTAGTCGAAAACATTTTTTGTAGTTCAAGAATGTCATTTCTTTCTGCGTGCAAAGATTTGTGTCGCATACGAATTTGCTGGCCTGAAATATGCCTGAAAATTCCGAAAAAAACTTGCAGAATCTCAAACATTATTGAAGGTATGTATTTGTGCTACAGATGCTGGGCGCACCCATCGGCCTAGATATTCTGCTTGCGAAACCTCACTGTTCTCACGCAGGTGTTTTTTTTAGATTGACATTCGTTTATGCAGCGAGGAATGTAGGCAGAGGGGGGAGGGTATATGGGGCGGGGGTCGTACGATGGGTAACCTTCAAGGGTGGGGGGGGGGGGGAAGGGTGGAGGAACGAACGCCTCAATTGGGCACCGCCTCCGCGGACTATTGGTCCCAACGCGATTAACAGTACAACGAAAGGAAGCAGCGGAGGCGGTACCTAATTGAGGTGTTCGTTCCTCCACCCGGGGGGAATCGTAAATGGGGGTTCCGGATCGCATTAACATGCTTGACCCTGATTGAGACACCCTGTATTAGAAATTTGGAAAAACCAAAAGTCAGAGGAATGATGGCTTGTTGTCGGTAAGTTTGCTGCTTTCTCAATTACACATTAGGAGGTTAGTGTGAAAAGCAAACAAAGCATCGATAGTTGTTCTGAATTACGATTGTAGGAACTGGATCGGAATTGTACATGCACACAAGTTTTGCTTATGTATTCTGGTATTCAAATCAAAGAATCTGAGTTGACTTTGTTACTGTTCCACTTTGAATATCTTTTTTGTATTGATAATAGCAGTATGAACTAGTGCCGATTTAAGAAGGTTTCTCAAATATCTTAGTGCTAGAGGTGTTATAGGAATCCAAAAGGAAAGAGGTTTATATTCTCGAAATGTAAGTTTTGGCTTTGAAAGTCAGCAGTGACAGTACAATAGATTCATAAATTCATCGTAAAGCCACAGTTTCTGTGAATTTTGGCGGACACAAGAACTCAATGTTTTCAACGTAATTTCACTGTACTCACTGTACTCAGTGAAAGGCAACGGTTTCGCTTTTACATGAACTTTGACGATGTACCAAACGCCGATGGGTAGATTGAAACGTATAAAAGGGAAGATGCTAAACAGCTTCATTCTTTGTGTACATGTCATCGTCATTTTAGCCGAGCTCTTATGGAAATCTTAGATTTTTTTTACATGCGCTTTCTGAAATAACTCAGCTTCCATTCTTCAAGGCTCATTTCATCACCAACAGACTTGTGCGCATGTCAGCGAACTATCATAAGAGCATGTTCCACCACTTTGTAGAGCAAAAAGAAAAATTTCAAAAATCGAAATACCTGACTAAATGTCAACTCTGCTTTATCCAAATTCATATTCCATAATCAAGTATTAGGTTGTCAAGAAAATAATGTCCGTTTTTTTGCTTGCTTAAACAAAGCAACCAGACTCAACCCAACAAAGGGTAAGGGGTACTGTTCGGTAGAGCAAAGCAAGCTCTACAAGATGGCACCCATGTCTTTGCGCCATGCTCGATCCACGGAGAGTTCGAACTCAAAATCTAAAGATTTCCAAATGCCCAAAAAATCGAAAAAAATCAGATCTTCGTCCAAATAATTTCTACGGACCTCCCACTCGCTCACATCAATACTATCGATATCTGATATCCATATGTGCGATTCCGTATTTTTTCCTTGACTAGAAACTGAGAAAACGAAAATTTTCCTGATTTTCTCAAAGCAATGCTGAGCCGTTCTTGCATATGTAATTCTATACTACAAGCCTAGGTAAGCATAACTGTAGGTTTTCAGCCTATTTCGAGCGGTACTTTTCGAGAAATGTCAATTTTAGCACTGAAACTGAAACGAAAAAATCCGAATTCGTTATTTTTCGAAAACTACCGCTTGGAATGGGCTGAAAATCTACAGTTATACTTACCTAGGCTTGTAGTGTAGAACTACACATGCAAAAACGGCTCAGCATTGCTTTGAGAAAATCAGGGAAAGTTTCGTTTTCTCAGTTTCTAGTCAAGGAAAAAATACGGCAATCGCACATATGGATATCATTTATCGATAGTATTGATGTGAGCGAGTAGGAAATCCGTAGAAATTATTTGGACGAAGATCTGATTTTTTTCGATTTTTTGGGCATTTGGAAATCTTTAGATTTTGAGTTCGAACTCTCCGTGGATCGAGCATGGCGCAAAGACATGAGAGCCATCTTGTAGAACTTGCTTTGCTCTACCGAACAGTACCCTTTACCCTTTGTTGGGTTGAGTCTGGTTGCTTTGTTAAAGCAAGCAAATAAAAACGGACATTATTTTCTTGACAACCTAATATTAGCTGCGCATTTGCTATAGTGCAGAGAGAATAGCAGTAAGGAAGTCCGCTGGGCATCGCGGAACCGCCTTTTTGCCTGATGTAAGCGCTTCATGGCCCCGTGTGATCAGTCCCGATATCAAGATTATTGTAGCGTATTTGAGCAATAAAGGTGCCAATTGTTAAAACATATCAGCGCTTGATGCGCGCAAATCTTGCGTGCATGCTAAGATTTCTCTCAAGAGTTTTCATAATTTTTGCGTTCACCTCCTAGTACGACCAGAGGGTGAGGGACAACTGTAATATCAATTTACGAACAGCAGCTCAATGTTGTTTCAAAACTACAAATAGACTTATTTACCAAACTTCTCCAAAGCTTAGAAATAGGCAGCGGTATAAAAGCAACTTGATTTATTCTTGATGGCAGAAAAGTGATGTTTGAAAGTTCATTCTCAAAACTGTCAACTTCTTGAGAGGAATGATGTTAAGATACGGTTGGGAATTTCGTTTGCTAAAAAACCACTATCAGAAGGAGCTATATCAGCACAAAATCTGCTCAGTGAAAGAGAGCAGGTGTTCAGAATTTGCAAATAAAAGATAGTTGACATTTTAGTATTTTTCTCTACTGCTTCTATCTCCCGACATAAGCGTAAGGTAAGAAATCCATTCAGGCTTGCTAAAGCTCTTGATCTCATTATTCCACTTTCTATCTCCTATCTTGCCAATATGTGCAAAAGAGTCTGACTGTATCAGAGTACCGCAAATTTGCGTAGAAATCATGGAACTGTGATCTTTTAAGAAGTGATGAGATCCTTGGTTCCAAACTGCCAGATAAAGCGAATCCATGTCTATCGAAGTCTGTCATGATTCTTTGAACTTGCCATTTGCTTGATAAATTATATGCTGTATAATGAAATCTTTTCAGCATAATGTTTATCTTCAAATTCCTTCTCATAGCACTTTTGGCTTGTGTTCTCGACGGAAAGAACAAAAAAGCAGATTTGGGCAAGGATCTCAGCAAACGTGCTTTTGGAGGTTTAAAAACAATCGGAGAATGTCCTGTGGATTTGAACTCGGTAATTGGGCTTTTTCTTCTAAATATTCATCTATTAAATTTCTACTTTTTAGGATGTAGGAAGATGTTTCCAAAGCTGTATTAACAATCAGTCGAGAATCCCAAACGAAAAAAAGAAAGAGAAACAGGATTCAGTAAAAACTGTCTCCGTTAGCCAGGAGCAAACAGAAGGCGCAAAAGGAAGAAAAAAACAAGATTTAGAAACTGGCTCCAATGGCGATGAGGCAACAGAAGAGAAAGAAGAAAAATGAAGGCGTGTTATCAGTAACCCGAAAACTTGAACTCTTCTATGTTTTTCTCGGATAAAGTGCTATCGGCACCAACTATGTAACTCCACTGTACGAAGCTAACATTCGGCATATTCGACCAACAAAACTTTATGCAGTCAAATTGCTCTTCTTTATTTACCATTGCTGTCTGGTGCAAAACATGATTTTTATGTTGAGAGTCAAATGTGGAATGCTGTACCTAAAGGTTACACTGTTGGTTCGAACAACTTCTGCCTAAGACAGGAGTAAAAAATGACACACGTGCCCAAGCTCTTTGACTCTCGCTCGAAATCCGCTGCAACTCCTTGCTGATGGCGAAAGGATATTGCAAAGACACTTTGTCTCAAGGACTTGAGGGGCTTTTTTTCCTTATGTCAAGCAATAAACACCACATCGTAGCAAATGCCCTGCTTCACGTCTAGTCGATCAAGAAAGCACAATGTTTGCAAACAAATAATCCGACGTTACTCTCATCTCAGGCGCGCTCACTGTAAATCACTGCAAGGCCAATTCAAGGCGAGAGAAGCTTATACGAGATATAAACATCTGCAAAGTGTGTGTCAATCAATGACAAAAATCTTGAAGCTTACTTCAAGACAAAGTCAACATAGATGTAGCATAGTGCTTCGAAATCACGCGGTCATTGCTTTAAGCCTGCGTTCAGACTGATTCCGAAATCCGGAAACCGTTTCAACACAGCGCTCATTTCAAGAGCTCTGTGCTGAACTGTTCCCGGATTTCGAAATCAGTCTGAACGCAGCCTAACCGCAACGTTCTCCATTACTCATGTAGCATTGAGCCTATGCTTGTTGGTTGTTGCTGATTTGGTTCTAAACCCTCATTTCTTTGTGGGAATCGTGGTACTCACAAAACTACACTTATGAGTTACAGCAGATTCAAAGTGTATTGGCTTTAGAAATCAAAAAAACCTCTGACAGTGGTTTTCTCCAGAGTAGCTTACTATGGATTTTCAGAAATGGTCATGACGAAATAGGAATCATATGCGTAGAAAAGACGAACGCAGACATCACGCTGACACTAAAGATCCCTGTAGCAAACATGACAACCAGCTAGCGTATCGGGCTCATCCCCGCCCTGTAAATACACTACTATAGGAGTCATCACGCCCTATATCTTCACAGCATTTTTCTGTTCCGGTCTCACCATTATATGCCTGTGCCGCCTTGCCTTCACTTTGTCTCCGTAGTATGCATGCTCATTCACAATTTGTGCCAACTCCCAGCCCCGCAGCATAGGCTTTCAAGATTCGATAGGTTGAAAACTCATATCTCGTTATTAGCATGCTCATTTACCTCCTGTTTCAACTACCAGGACCGTAGCTCCTGCAAACAAAAGGTAATCGATATTTAATAAATAACGTATTTGTAACAAACGTTCTCACTTATCCGGCTTGTACCAATCTCAGCCTCGTAGCTCGAGTTTGAAAAATCGATAAAATCTATATCGATTGATAACGCTTCATTTGTGTTAACCATAATATAGATTACTCCCATCTCATTATTTTCCACGACCACTCCGGATATTAGAAAAAGAGTAATACGATAGCATTTCACCTACACTTGTCGCATTCCTCTCATAGAGTTCGTCAAGTAGGTGTTGACCAGCTTCTGCAGAAACCTCTTCTTATTGCGACACAGGTGATTCAGGTGTTATGGTTATCAAGTTTATTAAAGTTATGCACGTCACGCAGTCACCGCATGGAAATGCTACTTTTTCTCCTAATTAGGTTGCGATGGGCACCGAATCTCATGTCATATCGTGACTTGGCTCTGTAAATTAGCCACTTGCTTATCACCCAGCACAGCGATTACTGTTCTGATGACGCTTCTGCAATTACATGCTGCAAACTTTTGAATTAAATCACCGTCTTCAAGTAATGTGCGGCTCTTAGTACAAATTTATATCCATATCTGCTATCTCGCTTGCCTTCTCTACGATCCGGCTAATCTTGGGTGGCGTTGACGAAAACCAAGGAAGAAGTCGCACCTGTTCTACAGCCCTAACCATAACGTTCGACAACACCAAGCCTTAGATTCCTCTAGCAGGAAATTAGACGTCTAAGTGATTGAACCAGACAAGCAGCACGCCTTCATATGCAGCGTAAAACGCTGATTCCAAATCTGTGTCCCGCATTACTAATCGCCTGAATGGACGGATTTGTGAGCAGTTTTATTGCTAAGGAACCGTGCATACAACCGTGTCAGACACACTATTGTAGTTTTAGCACACTTTTAGCTCAATAGGTTGTCCAAAAAGTAAACCCATTGTAAATTATTTAAGAGCTGTTTGTCTTTCTAGTGGACTTGAAGGCAGTGGTCCGGCAAATCCTCGACCTGTATTTTTTGCTAACCTGAAGTGATTTGACGCTGATTTCGGAACTTCCCGCCAAGCCTTGAGACGCACAGTAGGTGCGAAAACCTTGTGGCTATAGCATTGCGGCATGGCGCCTCTGATGGTTGGAGGAGAAAAGCAAGCTTGTCCGAGCGCGTGTAAGAATGGCTTGCGCGCACGGGTTTAGGGGCAGTTTTCTAGGCAGGAGTTGCACGCTGTGCGCTTAGACCTGCTCCCTTCCCACGTTTGAGGTGCAAGCTACCTTCTTTTTCGAAATCAAGATATTCGGTCTTGCCGAGCCACTGTTATTAAAGCATCATGGAGCCGGTGGGGCCAAGCAAGCTGATGTATCAAAAATGCAAAAATGCCATTTTTTCACTTTTTTCAAATAAATCCCCGTCTTTATCGACTTTAAGCATATACAGAGATAAAGTTTCGATATACCTAAAGCTTATATTCGGTTGGTTCAAAGGTTGTGGCTCTTCGATTTCGAAGAAATCGTAATTACTCACTATGTGAACGTATTGCCTTACAAAAAATACCTCCAGAAGAAAACTTCATCTAATCACATCCTCGCTGCTCTCTGACGAAAAAAGGTTGCAAAGGTAACAATTTGAATAGTAGAACCACTGAAACTAGTAAGTTTTGAATAAAATGAAAATGAATCGCCAAAAATCTGTAATGTGCAAAAAAAATCTGAACACTTTTCTCAAAAGTTTTGTATGCTGCTCCTTCTAATGGTTAAGATTGTGCTAATCGAGCACTTTCACAAAAAGTTATGATTTCGAAAAATTAAAAGTTCTGCCGGAAAAACGGCAAAAATGAAGTTTTTTTGCGTTTTTCTGCATTTTTTTAACGAAGTCATGATTTTTTGTAGAAATGTTTGATCAACACTATCCTGGCACTATTAAAAAGAGCAGCTCACAAAACCTTTAGAAAACGTATTCCCAGGTTGTTCTGCAGCATTTCAGGTTTTTGACAATTTATTTTCGAAAATAACGAGCTCTATAAGCCTTACTGCGTACAACCTCGAAACTTTGCTCCTGTATGTGCTCTTAAAGTCGACGAAGATTTTTGAAAAAAAATGCATTTTAGCATTTTCGGAACACCTCTGTCTCTCAATTCTGGGTCTCGGAAAAAATCTAACAAATACATTTTTGGGTACGCTTATGTGTATACTACATAAAGACCAAATTGGAAGTCCGAAGGAATTTTCTGGAAGAAAATCCGCTTTTTAGAGTAACTGAAAAGTTCTGATTTTTGGCTCCAAATTTTACCTGGATTATGATTTAGATGGTCATTGATGGTCTTTTTGCAGAGCTTGCTCCGCTTTATCGAATAATACTCTAACTACGTTAGGAAACAAAAACAGCTCAACTTATTTAAAAATGGTGTTCACTTTAAAAACAACCTAGTATAGTGCTGGCCATAGCTGTAGAGCACCACTATTCTGTGTTTAATCCAACGTCACATCACCGACTAAAAGGCTTTCAATTATACTGATTTTGGCCGCAGACAATTTGAAAATCATGGAAGATACTGTTCTGAAGGCTGGTCACAACTATAGAGCCACCTCCCATTTTCGATCATGCTACATTCTTTGATCCTAAAATTTTTTGTACATAAACAGCGTCAAAATGCGAGGCGTGCTTTGCACCTGGGAGCTCTCGCATTTTGAAAAGAAAATTATACCGTTTTTTTCGCTTCAAAATGCATAAAAATTTACATTGTTTCAAAAACTTGCTCCTCCACTGAAATTCTGAGCCAGGGCTCGGCACGAGCTGGCACCAGGGAAATTTCAAAACGAAGTCCCTTTTGATATTGAAAATTTCGTACGAAGTCCCTTTTGACCTGTTTTGAAAACTCATCATTTTTATATTATGCAAAAAAGTGTAGTAGTGTTTTCATACATTTCTGATTTCATGAAAGAGCTTTTCACAGCTTTCTGAGCTTTTTAAGTGGTCGAATCACATCTTGAGAAGCAGAAAAAGCCGATTTTTTAACTGCTGAGCGGACCGAGTGGTTAAATTGCTATAAAACGCTGAAAAGAAAACATTATGAAACTGTTTCTTCTCCGTATGTAATCTTTTGCAGTGTAGATACATTTTATGTAAAAAAGTATGAAAACTTATGTGAGCAAAGTGTCGGTGCCAGCTCAGCTGGCACCCAGCTGGCACGGTGCCAGCTATTTCAGAAAAAAGTTTGGCACAGCTTTCATTCACATAAGTTTTCATAAATTTTTGGCCCATAGTTCCACCAGCGCGCATGCACACACCAAATTTGGTGTCATACTATTGCGTTTTGGCTGAAAACAACGCCTTTGTTTGTTGATAGACAGCTTGCCAATGGCATGCCGGCGGCATTTTTGCGGCATTTCTCCGACTCGGCCCCTGTAAAAACGATATCCCCTTTGCTTTCCGCCCTAAAAACGATATCCAGCTTGACCCGGTGCCAGGTGTGCTGAGCCCTGTTCCAAGCACTTGTTCAACTCAGATGAATGTCCTAGGATTCGCTGAGCCTTTGCAATGAATATGGTGAAAAGCGCTTTGGTAAACATTGCGTAGTCGTTGATATTGATAAACAAGCTTTCCCCTTCACCTTCGGGTAGACGAGCACTACAGAAGCCGAGT